CCCCCTGTTAACTTATGCCCCTTTTTTTTTTTTTTTTTTTTGTACCGGGGATCGAACTCGGGCCCTTTTGCTTGCAAAGCAGGTGGCGGAACAAGGAAAGAAAGTGTTATCTTTAACACCCACTGTTAACTTATGCACCTTTATTTTTATTTATTTTTTTTTTTGTACTGGGGATTGAACTCGGGCCCTTGTGCTTGCAAAGCAGGTGGCAGAACCACTGAGCTAAATCCCTGGCCGCACCTCTCATTTTAACAGAAAGCAAGCATCAAGTTGAGAAGTTTCCACAGGTGACAGTATCTTGTGAAAACTTAATGATGTTTTAATTTTACTGTTTTTATTTTTAAAATTTATTTTGTGGCAGATAACACTTGATTTCCACTTGCTGGTAATTTAAAGATTCCTTAACATTAAAAACTTTTATAGGTAGAAGAAAAGTTAATACAGAAAAATGTTAAGCATTAAGTCAAGCATGGTGACACATGCCTGTAATTTCAGCACTCTGAAGGGCTGAAGCAGAAAGATAACAAGTTTGAGCCAGCCTGAGTAATTCAGCAACTTAATGAGACACTGCCTCAAGAATTTTTGAAAGGACTGGGGCTGTAGCTTAGCTGACTGATCCTGCTGTTGTGATCTTGTTTCTTTTATTTTATTTTATTTTTTTTTTCCCTGTAACTGGGATTGAACCTCCACCTTGGATTCAATTCCCATTACCACCACCATCCTAACACACACACACACACACACACACACACACACACACACACACACGTGTATATAATAATACAAGTGCTAAGTGACTGAAAATGACTTTGGTCTGGGAGCACTTTGTTATCATTGTCATTGCCATTCCCAGTTGTGCTGAGAAGAGGACAATCATAGGCCAACATTTTACTAAGCACTTACTCTGTACCAGGCACTGTGCTAAGCGCTTGCCCTTTTTAATTCGTGCAGAATTCAAAGCAACTGTATAAGGTATGTACTCTTGTCCTACTTTAATAAGCTGAAGCTTAAAGAGGTTCACACATGGTAACATTTAGGACATCAAGCCAAGATTTCCCAAGCATAGGGCTCATTCCACTATACCATAGTGGCAACTCTGATTTGTGTGTGTTAAAAAGTTTCAGAACTGATCTGAGCCAGCCCCCTGGAGCTAACTTTAACAAGTCATTTTACCCCAAAAATGAATCCTACAGGCGATGTGAAGTAGAGTGCTCCAACACTCAGTATTAATTGATGCCTATGAATTATTCTCATTTTATCCATACGTTAGTGCTGAGATCGGTAATCTTACACCCATTTTACCATAAAAATAAAAAAAAAATAGGAAGTTTGGAGAAGTTGTCTTCCCAAAGTAACCAAAGTAGTAAAATGTTGTACATGACTTGAACCCAGAGTGACTTAATTGATCCTACTATCCTGATTCTTTTCTTCCTTTTTTTCCTGTTCCCAGGATTGAACCTAGGCCCTTACATGTGCTAGGCAAACACTCTAACATTGAGCTATATCTCCAGTCCTTTTCATTTGGAGGCAGGATCTTGCTAAGTTGCCCAGGTTGGCCTCAAAACTTACTGCCTCTGCTTCCTGAGGAATTGAGATTATAGGCATGTGCCACCTCACCAGGTTTATGATTCTTACCATGATTCCTACTATTATACATTCTCTGCCACAATTTTCTGTGCTGCTTCACTATGTTTAATGAGTAATGGTTCTGAATGATATCAGACCCACAGCAATTTTGTTTTGTTTTGTTTTGTTTTGTTTTGTTTTGTACTGAGGGTCAAACTCAGGTCCTTGTGCTTGTGAGGCAGGCAGTGGAACCACTGAGCTAAATCCCCAGTCCCACAGCTTTCTTTCCTAACCCTAAAATATAGTTGGTATAATCTACATAAAAGGCTTCTTTTCTTTTCTTTTTCTTGAGACAAGGTCTCATTATGTAGCTCAGGCTGGCCTTGAATGAACATATAGTCCAAACTGGCCTTTAAATTTCAGTGAGCCTCCTGCCTCAGCCTTTCACATGCTAGGATTACAGGCATGTGCCACCACACATGGCTAAGAACATTTTCAAAAGCAACAATTATGAAATAAATTTATAATAAAATGAGCTATATATATTTTATAAGTGCTTGTAAACAACTTTCCTACAAGACATGGTGTAGAAGTCCTACGCATTTACCTGGCTGTAAAATCACCATAATTGGGATTGGTTGATTGTAGGCTAAAATAGATATCACAGAAGCCAGAGTACTGTACTGTCTCTGTGATTTTCTGCTTTTTTCTGTTTGTTTGCTTTGGGTTTTTTTGTTGTTTTGTTTTGTTTTATGCTGGCCTTGAACTCACTGTGTAGTCCAGGCTGGCTCGAATTTGCATCAATCCTCATGCCTCAGCCTCCTGAGTTCTGGGATTATAGACATGCACCACCCCACCCGGCAGTGATTTTTTCATATGGTATACTACTGTTTGTAAAATTCAGCAAAACAAAGAACAGTTTTTCCCTGTATTTACTTTGTGTTTCCATGGCCTGGAAATCTACTGATGTAAAAACTGTGCACCTACCACCACCAGAACAAATGGAATTAGCTTTGAGGCTCAGATGATTAAAAAGATTGATGAGATAATCAAAAATCGTGTGTGACAATGGGACAGTTCTTCATAATGCAGTGCATGAAACTAAACAGCATTGAGGGACACTTAATATCTCTTAACCCCTAACAGATGGCACTGTGCATGCATTTTCCCCTCCATCCCATCGTTTTGACAATCAGAAAGTTCCCAGATTCCTACAAGGCCCCACATAGGACAGGATCCTTCATGGAGAATCACTGCTGTACAAACACCCCAGTCAGAACTGCTCCCTCTCTTACCTGTGAAGAGGTAGGATCACACCTGCTCATCAGTGAACTTGTGTAGGATGCTATACATTCTGAAGCAGCCTAAGTTCAAGGCAGAAAGGGTGTTTTTTAATTGTAAAACATTTCTCTAAATATAGTATAGATTGGCATTAGACCGAGCACAAAATGGGACATTGGGTTTCTTAAATTATTAAGCTTTCACTGCTTTAAAATTTAATAAAATTGTTGTAAAATGTATTAAACACTGAGTTCAATCCCTGGAACCACAGGGGGGATAAAAAGGGACTGGGTATTTAGCTCAGTGGCACCACACCTGCCTTGCAAGCTCAAGGTCCTGAGTTTGATCCCAGTACTGCAAAACAATAAAAAAAAATTTAAAATAAGTAAAATATATTAAACAAAAAATGAAATAAACTAATATATTAAACTATTTAAAAAGTCACAAATTTTGTGGGGAGAACAGTAATGGGGGTTGAAACCAGGGCCTGAAACATGAAAGGCAGTAGCAGTTCCCCAGTCCTACAGATTCTTAAGCTCAGGGAACTCCAGTTTGAGAAGTCCTGACTTTAAAACTAGAGTTTCAGTCTAAGGAAATATCTTTTGATTGCAAATTACCAAAGCTTTTTTTTTTTTTTTGTACCCAGGATCTAACCTCAGGACCTTGTGCTTGCTTGCAAGGCAGGTGGCAGAACCACTAAGCTAAATCCACAGCTACTAAAGCTTTAAGCCAACACAAAGACTTTTTTTTTTAATTATCTGTACAAATGAAAACAAATTTTTTTTAAATTTTGAAAAATTTGTAGACCTTGGAGAATATAAATACGTCAGCTTAATAAATTGCTCATTTTGAATACACAGTATAATTTATACTTGCCTTGATGCCTCAGGTCACAATTCTCAACTCCATTTATACAAAACTGCTCAACAGTATAAAATATAAGAGATGCAGCTTAGTATCTGTTGATCACAGTCCCTGGGAAGGTCCTGAATTGTACATACAGCGAATAGGTTTTATGGATGGCCTACCAAATGTCCTTCATTGTGCTTAAGGAAGAGTGAGGTACAGTGACACATGTCTGTAATCTCAGCTTCTCAGGAGGCTAAGGCAGGAGGATTGCAAGGTCAAGTTCAGCTTGGGCAGATTAGCAAGACCCTATCTCAAAAATCAAAGGCTTGAGAATGGTAGAGTACTTGCGAGCATGTGTGGGACCCTGAGTTAAATTCCCAGGACCAGAAAAGAATAAAAGATCTTAAGAGCCTAGTCAGAAAGTTTCAGTCCAGGTGATGAAACACACAAAGAGAAAATAATAGAACCCATTGACCTTATGTTGAGGATATTTTAAATATAGTAGCAAATACTTTAAATGAAATAATACATGTGAAGGATTCCATTTAAAACCCTTCACTAGGGGCCGGAAGATGTAGCTCAGTGGTGCCATGCCTGCCTGGAAGCATGAGGTCCTGAGTTCGATCCCTGGTACCAACAAAATAAATAAAACCCTTCACTAGTTTGCATTTGCTCATAAGATAATGATGAAAGCCAGAGGTGGTAGCACATGTCTATAATCCCGGGATAAGACTAGAGGATCACAAGTTCAAGCTCAGCCTGGGCAATTTCAAAAGTTAGCAAGACCATGCCTCAAAATAAGAACTGAAAAAAGGGCTGAGGCTGTAGTTCAGTGCCAAAGCCCTGGTTCCAGAAATAGGTGTGATGGTACATACCTGTGATCTGAACTCTCGAGGCTGAGGTGGGAGGATTGCAGCAAGTTCCAGGCCAGCATGGGCTACATAGTGAATTCAAGACCAGCTTAAACTACATAGGCTGTCTCAAAACAAAAACAGTGGGATTCTTATAGAATTGCATAGTCTGTATCTCACACCTCTTCAGCCTCATTTTCTATAGTTCTCTTCTCACTGTATGGCCTTTTCTTGGGTCCTAAGAAACATAGCATTTATTCCTGCCAAAGAGCCTATGTTCATGACTACTCCCAGCACTTTGCCAAGGTAATTCTCAGTCATCCTTCGGATTCCGACTTAATGCTACTTCCTCAACAGTTTTCTCTTGGTCCTTGACTTCCCAGAATTGATCCATTCCTGTGTTAGACATATGAATACCATCCCTCTCTCTTTCTAAGACATACGGAACTACTAAATTTCACATTACCTCCTGTGCTTATTTCATTTCTTTCTCTCCCACTAGGCTTTAGCTGTCATGAGATAGTTGCCTACTGAGCATTGTTTTTGTTTTGTTTTGTTTTTTTACTGATCATTGTTCACAGCACCAAATGTAGCACCTGGCACTTAGGAGTTTGAGAGCTACTTGTTCAGTGAAAGTATCAGCCTGTTACTGCACAGAATGTATGTGACAGCTTAGAGTCTTAGGTGACCTGCCTGAGATCACATAGCTAACAAGTGGCAGAGACAGAGTTTGAACTCATCTGTCCAGCTTAAATTTTTACTCATTCTAGACCCAGTGCTTCTTAAGCTTTTAGAGGTAAAAGCTAGTTTGTGGGGTTTGTTGTTTTTTGTTTCTGTTTTTTCCATCTATTGCAAGCTAATGCTTTTGTAAAAATACTTTGATCACAAATTTGGTATGCTGTGGCAAGATCAGATTGTTATGGAAGTCTCTAAACCATTGTTCTCCATGTCTGCATTTCTCTTGTCATGGAGCAGCATTGGAACATAGGCCACACTTCAGGTAGCTTTCGATCAGCTTCCAGGGAGCAGAACATATCACAGATCACCCCTCTAGGCCAAGAGGAAAACCGGGGTGAAGTCCACAAGGTCCCCGGGCATTGGGAAGACTGGTGTGGAGGAGATGGAGTTTGAAGAAGGTGTTATCACATGAAGGGTAGAGTTGGCGGAGAGGGGACCTGGAACCCCCCCAAGCTACAGAGAAGCTGGAGCAGTGTAGGGTGGCAGAGACCCCAAGAGTATTGATTGCACAGTGCAGTGGTTAGTACTGGGAGTCAAGAAAGAGAAAGCATTTGCATACAGTTTTCTTGTATTTGATTTTACCTTTTTTTTTCTTTTTTCACTTTGCAAGAATTTCCATTAACTTAAGGGCTTTTTCTTTAAACAGCTTTTGAAAATAGAGAATTAGTATTTTGATCTCTGTTCTGTTTGGTATTTGTATCTTAGTGGTATCCACTTATTGTATAGCAGTCTGTTATCTGTAATAATAAGCTTGTGCTCGCTTTGGCAGCACATATACTAACACTGGAATGATACAGAGAGGATTAGCATGGCCCTGTGCAGGGGTGACACGCAAACTGGTGAAGCATTCCGTATCACCTTGCTCTGAGATCACTGGACAATTTTGTTTATTCAATAACAGTGTATCGAGAACTGACTGGCGTTCTGAATCCTAGTAAGACTTCTATTTTTGTCTATCAGACAACACCCTTCTCAAGGCCCGTCCTCATTTCTCTGTTTATCTTTAGCCTTCCCCTCCCTGCCCTCAAATCTTTTGAGCAACATCCAACTGCAACTCTTCATTCAGAAAGCTGCTTCTTAGCACATTATGAAGTAAGAAAAAATTGTGCCTTCCTCAGAAATATTTATTTAGAACCAGTTACTTCTGAAGCCTACTTTTTTAAAAAAGCTCAGGGATGGGCCGGTGATTTAGCTCAGCGGTTCGGTGGCCTGCCTTGCAAGTGCAAGGACACAAGTTCAATCCCCGGTACCAAAAAAAAAAAGCTCAGGGTTGGGGATTTAGCTCAGTGGTGCTGCCGCCTGCCTTGTAAGCTCAAGGTCCTGAGTTCAATCCCCAGTACCAAAAGATAAACCAAAAAACTAAAAAGCCCTGTGTTAGGTTAAATATGTTGTTTTTTTAAAATACCTTAAAATGTTGGAAAGTTTCCACAAATAGTTGTTGCCAGGTGGGTCTCTGCTTTATTCTCTCATTTTCTTCTAGTGTTTCACTTTATTAAAAAATATCATTGTCTTGGTTGTATTTTTCAGTCAAGTCTTAATTCGAAGCAGAGTCCTCCGGGAAAATGGAAAATATATTCCCAAACAGGTACTCATTTACAGTATCTTTTATTAAAAAACTTCCTTTCACTGTTGAGTGGTAGATAGCTAAATATTTTATAAGAGAACTCTTTGGGGAGAGCTGGATGTTCGCAATGCAGTAATTAAGCTGTGGCCTCAGGGTTGGTGTCATTGTGACCTTTCCCTTCTTTTCTTTTTTTTTCTTTTTTTGGTACTGGAGATCAAACTTGGGTCCTTGTGCTTGTGAGGCAGGCAGTGGCACCACTGCGCTACATCCTGGCCCAACCTTACCCTTCTTAAGAAGCTGTTTTTAAATCTGACTCAGCTAAAGTGTAACCTCATATTCCAGCGGCTTCCCAACCCAACTTCTAGGGAATTGTTTGATGATTTGCTGTGTCACAGTTCCTGAACTTAAAAGCTTTTTTTTCCTACTAGTCTTTCTTGACACGAAAATATTACTTCAACAACCCAGAGGATGGATTTTTCAAAAAAACTAAAAGGAAAGTAGTGCCACCTTCTCCTATGACTGGTATGTTCATTCCCATCTCTCACCTTTGAAAAAGACTTAACTTCAGTTGTTGGGTGCATTGAGGGGAGAGGGAGAAAGGGTGTAGATTCTTAAATACTAAGTTACAGAGGATAAAATGTAAAGAGTCTTAGAAAATATCTAATATAGGGCTATATGGAAGTACGGTTCTCTTTTTCAAATAAGTTTTTGGGGAACTCCATTGTAAAACGTGTTCTCAGCTCATGAGGTTGGGGAGGCCAGGGCCCTTGTTCCTGCATCTCCTTGCTATTCCTCCTGCACCATGACTCCATGGAGCAGTGCCGCAAGTCTTCCTGTGGTGCTGCTGCTGGGACCCTGTGGCTGACAGGTGGCCGGCCCCCAGCTCCTACCTGAATGAGGAAGGTCATTGCAGGCATGATTGCTTGGTCCTCTAGTTTATGCTCTGATGGATTTCTGACTTCCACTGATTCCTATCTTGTGAAAAATACAAAATATTTTTTAAAAACAAAATTATCTGTTGTTCTGCATTGATTTCTCTCATTTTAGTAATCATTGCTTTAGCGCTTTTAAACCCGTACATAATGTACTCGAGTTAAGAAAACTTGGGGGGAAAGCCAGTAATCATATAGAAAAGATATTTGACTTTAATAATGATCCATGGAATACAAATAAATAAAATGAGATGTCTTTTTTAGCTCCTTAAATTGGCAAAGATTAAAAGATTGACCTGGGCTGGGGATTTAGCTCAGCGGTTTGGTGGCCTGCAAAGACCCAAGTTCAATTCCCGGTACCAAAGAAAAAAAAAAAAGATTGACCAAAGCCACTATTTGCAAGGCTAGGGGAGTCAGGTGAGAGAGCCACGTGGTCAGGCCTCACTGAGGGACAGTCTGAGAAGATCTGGGAATTTTCAGCAGTGACATGAGCCCAGGGCCTTGCACATACTATGTGAGCACTCTTCCACCGAACTACACCACAGCTGCTAATGACTGTCAGTTTTTTGTCTTTATGCCCCTTAACCCAGAAGTTCTAAGAATTTATTTTAAAACTGGATGCTGTGGTACACACCTATAATCCCAGCTGCTCTAGAGGCTGAGACAGGAAGATTGCAAGTTTGAGGCTACCTGGGCTACATAGTAAGAGCATCTCAAAAGGGAAGGCTGGGGATATAGATCAGTGCAAGGCCCTAGATTTAATCTCTAGTACTACAAAAAAACAGCAGGGCCAGGGATTTAACTCAGTGGTGCCACTGCCTGCCTCACAAGCACAAGGTCCTGAGTTCAGTCTCTGGTACCAAACAAAAAACAGCAAAAAATTTCTCTTACAGCAGCACCTAGATAACCATGTAGATTTGTGTACATGATAGTTGTTGGCTATATTGTTTATTGGCAAAATGTTTATGCATACGTATAATCCTAGCATTCAGGAGGCTGAGGCAGGAGGACCACCATGAGTTTGATACCACCTCAGCTCCATATTGAGTTCAAGGCCATCCTGAGACACTGTCTCAAAAATACCAAAAAAAAAGTTGGAAACACCTACCCAGGGATCACACTTGGTACCTTGCGCTTGTGAGGCAGGCAGTGGAACCACTGAGCTAAATCCCTGGATCAAAATTACTCATTTTAGAACATGAAAAAAGTGAGACATGGTGGCACACACACACCTGTAATCCTAGCATTTGGGAGGCTGAGGCAGGAAGATAGTTGCGAGTTTGAGGTCAGCCTGGGTTACATAGTCCCTATTCCAAAAATAAATAAAAGAATAAATAGATAAAACATTAAAAAGTAAAATATAAGCCCAGCATAGTGACACATACCTATAATCCCAGCACTTGGGAGGCTGAGGCAGGAGGATCGCTGCAAGTTTAAAGCAGCCTGGGCTACACAGTGAGTTCAAGGCCAGCTGGAACTACCCTCTCTGAACCCCGCCCCCCCAAAAAAATATATTAAGCATAGAGCCCCTTTATATTGTGTATCTATAAATTGAAAGGAAAGATGCAAGAATATGCAACAATTAGAAGTGTACAGTGAATGAGCTGAGAGAAACTGTTTCTTAATTCTGTGTCATTTGATTGTTTTCACAATGAATGTGTGTTATGCAAATTGTCCAGTACATTAAATTTGCAGGCAACAGGAGAGAGGTAAACCTGTGGTCTCTGTGCTTCTGTCGCAGATCCCACAATGCTCACAGACATGATGAAAGGGAATATCACGAACGTTCTCCCTATGATTCTCATTGGTGGGTGGATCAACATGACGTTCTCAGGCTTTGTCACAAGTAAGTTGTAGACCAGCAGGCTGGTACCCTTGTCACTGTGCCCCGCCCCACGTCTCTGCTCCAACAGCCCCATGCTTGAGGGACCTCAGTGTCATGGTGTTGGGTTTCCTTATGGAAACTGCCACCATTTTCTAAATTAAATTTATTACGCTGTGATTCTATGGTTCCTGTTTCAGACTAAGTTCAAATGCTTTTTAAAATGTTTAATTTTTACTAGTACATGTTTGCCATAGGTGATTACATTCATTGTGGGGAGTTGGTACATGTATATAGCACATCTCTTCTGTCCCCTTTTTCAAAAAATATTTTTTACCAGCATCAGATTCATTGATTTGTTTTAAAACTTCATACAAGTTAATTATGAACACAGATTAATGGCCAGGCTAACAGGCTGAATAATTTATAAAATGCATAAGGCAATTGTACTAAATCAAGGTATACTTAGATACATTGGCCATGCTGGATTACAATAACTTTTCTCTCTTTTTTTTCTTATTGTCTGCATTTCATTTTGTACTTTATGTATTGAGTTTCTCATATAAGAGAAACCCTGTAATATTTAAGCTTGTGTGTCTGGTAATTTTCAACTGATAAAATATTCAGAATAAAGAAGAATAGAGGGAAGCCTGCTCCTATTTTTATTTCATTTGTTGGATTTTGGGATAAATTATCTGTCTGTGTATTTGTAAGTTGACTTGATTTTGGGGGGCGGGGTTACCGGTGATCGAACTCGGGACCTCGAGGCAGGCAGCAGAACCACTGAGCTAAATCCCCGGCCCTAAGTTGATTTAATTTTAACTGATTTCACTTCTTAGTGATAAAATTCTTTGGATGTACATATTCTACTTAGGATTTAATAACTAGATAAGTGCAAATTTTTTCCAAATTTTAGGTCTCAGCCCAATTTCACTCCCTGCTTCCTCAGCAACGTAGAAGCTGGTATTATTCAAGGAAACTAGAGCAGACTTTTTTTTTCCTTCAAAAATCGCCTCAGAGGGCTGGCGATTTAGCTCAGTGGTTCCACCGCCTGCCTTACATGCACAAGGACCCGAGTTTGATCCATGGTACCAAAAAAAATATTACCTCAGATTTCCTTGTGGAAATCATTTTCCAAGGCTCATATGGCATGGAATTCTCACCTTCTCAGGGAAAGAATCTGTGCATTCACACTTGCACTGTGCTAAGAATAGAAGAGCTCAGAGCACTTGTGATCCTTTGCTTTCTCCCTGCAGCCAAAGTCCCATTTCCACTGACTCTCCGTTTCAAGCCCATGCTGCAGCAGGGAATCGAACTCCTCACATTAGATGCATCCTGGTAAGAACATTCTAAAACCAATGTCTCCTAAAGATCAAGATTTCCAACCTTCATATTTCAGTGGCATAGTTCTTGAAAGGTTTATTTTCATCAAATCTCTACTTAAAATAATGTCACTGGCTTCTGGCAGTTTTTCCCTGAGTTTTGCAAAAGGATCAACTGTGCCAGCCTCTTTCCTTATAGTATAGGGTACAAGGATGGATGTATTAACCCTCTCAGGAGTAGAGAGGTCTCTGGGCGTGGTGGCGCACACCTGTAATCTCAGCACTCGGGAGACAGAGGCAGGAGGATCACAAGTTTGAGGCCAGCCTGGGCTACATAGTAAGCTCAAGGCTAATCTGAACTACAGGGTGAAACTCTATCTCAAAAAAAATAAAAAAAAGTCCGGGGATTTAGCTCAGTGGTTCTGCCGCCTGCCTCACAAGTGCAAGGTCCAGAGTTTGATCCCCAGTACCAAAAAAAAAAAAAGTAAAAAGGTTAAGCCAAGAGCTCTGGCCAAGTTATAGCACAGTGGCACATGCCTATATTCCCAACACTAGAAGGCTGAGGCAGGAGAAATGACAAATTCAGGCCCAGCCTGAATGACTTAGCAAGACCCTGTCAAAAGGGCTTAAGATGTAGCTTAGTGCAAAGACCCTGGGTTCAATCCTCAGTATTGAAAAGAGAAAGCAAGAGTTTCTTTTGCTCCCAGTTTTGCAGGTTTGGGCTGTGGCTGTGAGCCCCATGGCTGTGGACTGTGATAAGGCATGTCGTGACGCAGCGTGTGCATCCACCTCATGGTTGGGGCATCAAAGAGAGGAGACAGACGAAGGCCCCACAGCCCCTCAGCAGGCTCTGCAGCCCAAACTTCTTGTTAGACTCCACCTCCTGAAGGCCTGCTGCCTCCCTTTAGCACTATAGGCTGGGGGCCAAGCTTCGCCCCACCCCACTTTTTTTTGGTACTGGGGATCGAACTCAGCAGTACCACTGAGCTAAAGCCCCCCAGCCCAGGGGACCAAGCTTTAACACATGGGCCTTTAGGGTACATCCAGATCCCAAACTATAGAAATGTTTGTATGTTTTTCTAAGATATATTAGTTTCTACTAGATCTAGTCAGCATTCTAGGGCTTTCCACATATTTTTTTTGTCCTCATAGCAGCCCAGTGATGTTGGGGAAGAATTAACATTTGACCACATACAAGGTAATATGCAGCCAGTGCTCCAGACTTACTTCTAATGTAATGGCAGAATAATAAAGCATAAAATCAAAAACACTCTTGAGAAACACTGCTACAGCACCTACAACACAGTAATGCTCGCTCACGTGGTCTTCACACTGTCCGTGACTTCTTAAAGATTGGCCTTGAAAGACTCACAGGAGTGGGCAGCAGGGTCACCAGTGGTAATCTTGACTCACCCAGTTTAGGCAGAGCCATCTCCCATTTTGTGGTAGAAACAGGGCAGATGCTGGGAGAGCATTGGCTGAGAAAAAAATAGTATGATTCTGTTTAAATTTAACCTCTTGCCAGGGGATTTAGCTCAGTGGTTCCAGTGCCTGCCTCACAAGCGCAAGCAAGGGCCCTGGTACCAATAAATAAATAAAGCCGGGCTGTGGTGGCACACACCTATAATCCCAGCACTTGGGAGGCTGAGGCAGGAGGATCACTGTGAATTAGAGACCAGCCTGGGCTACATAGTGAATTCCAGGTCAGTCTCAGCTACATAGTGAGACACTGTCTCAAAAAACCAAAAAAGAAAGAAAGAAAGTCCTTAAGCTTAACCTCTCAAGTCCCATTTTGGCTAGGCTAAGGCTTCCATCTTTTCTCAGCATGAGAGCAGGTATGTGACTATGTACTTACATGCACAGAGAGCACCCTGGAACCTGAATGTGCGGTTACTGTTGCACATGGATCTGTAGTGTTGTACACGCGTAGGTCACTGGCAGTCTGGTGGAGCAGCCGGAATAAACTGCTGTTGTATGCCCTGACTTTGCGGAATCTGTGTATCAATTTGTATTCCCTCTAGTTTTCATTATATTCAGGCGTGATTTATGGGGGCTGGGTAGGAAACCTCCAGTAAAGGAAAGCTGGGTGATAAAGTTCAAAACTTGGAACACTTTCCCAATAATTATCATCCTTAGCATTGGCAGTACTTGCTTAAATCTACCTCTGATCCTTTCTTCTAAGCATGAAACACATGAGCACACCAGCACTTGTGATTTCCTCCAGGGAATGGGATGTTGTCATTGGCGGGGTGCTTGCCTGGTAGTGCCAGATCCTGGCTTCTATTCCAGCACTGGGGTGGATGCCAAGCAGGAAGTTTCTTTCAATTTCAATTTCTATTTAATATATTTCTTTTTTATTTATTTATTTAATATATTTTTGTAGTGGTAAGACTCTTAACAGCTTATATTTCTTTGGTGGGTTGTTGGCTGAACACAGCCAATGCCAAACAACTTTTGAGTGATTCAGAAGTGCAAATTAAACTACCTACACTGTTTCACTTTTGCTTTGCTAGGGTGAGTTCTGCATCCTGGTACTTTCTCAATGTATTTGGGCTCCGGAGCATTTACTCTCTGATTCTGGGCCAAGATAATGGTAAGAATACCTACTATAATAAGCAAATACTAAAATAATTGAATCATCCATACTAGAGCAAGAAAAATCACGTAGGTCGTGCTGTCTGTTAGAAGAGTCAAACAGTATTTTCTTCCTTAAGTTTTTGAGGTTTATGGAAAGTATCATAAAAATTCCAAGACTCAAACTCAGGATGAATTTTCCCCAGCAGTCACTACAGTATTTGGATGTCTTAAGTGGGACACCTTCATCGCGGGACCTGCGCCAGCAGTGTCAGCCCATAAGCCTGAAGTCTGAAGAAGGCCCAGTAGGGTCAGTCAGTTTACTGCGAGAGTCTGGCCACTGCTGCGTCTGGCTCTCTTAATGGCAGTGACCTCAGCCATGCTGACCACTTCTTTCCTGTGTTTGCTCTTTTGTGGGGCTACTTAGAGTGGCTGAGGTAGACTGTGTGTAGACTTCCTGCAGCACTAGTAGTTGCTCGATACCTGGTGGCTGTTGTTACCGTTGTTGAAATCTGAAATACAGTTCAGAGCTTCCTTTAGTTAGACCACATGACCTACATGATTTTTCTTGCTCTAGTATGTCCAGCCGTGATTTTTCAGGATAGGTGAAGTGACTTTCATAGTCACATAGTCGGGGACAAACAGTCCCAGTCAGTAGGCCACCAGGCAGCTGTGCGTGCTGTGGTGTGCAGGTGCTGGCATTTACTGGTCTAGCACTCAGAGCTGTGTCTCATCTTCAGCTGCTGACCAGTCCCGAATGATGCAAGAACAGATGACTGGGGCTGCCGTGGCCATTCCAGCGGACACCAACAAAGCTTTCAAGGTACGCCCCACCCATCCTGCAGGGCCACAGTGAGGCCTGAGAGTGTGACAGGCTGTGAGGGTATCCTCTTCTCCTGTGCTTTCATTCACTGCGGGTCCATTTACCCACAGGCCACTGCAGTCCTGATGCTATGTTTTAAGTTGTGCACTGTTCTGAGTGGTGTCATGAAATCTTATGTCATTCTGATCCATCCCATCCAGGACGTTAGTCATTCCTTTGTCCAGTGTACCCAGTCTGTGTGTCACCCGCCTCATGGCAGGTGAAAGAAGAAAGACCATATCTGCATCGCATTTGTAACAGTGCTATCGTGTAATTGTTCTCATCCATTCCAAGTCTTCGTTGTTGATCTCTTACTGTGCATTAAACTTTGTCATAGGCGCATACATTAGAGAGAACAGTGTATGTGGGGTTCATCCCTGTTCTGCAGTTGCTGGCATACACCCACTGGTAAAGGGTAAAGGGGCACTGCAGTGCTTTAACGATGATTTCTGTGCAGGGCATGATGGTGCATCCAGCTACTCAGGATACTAAGGCAGGAGGATCACAAGTTTGGGGCCACCCTGGGCGACTTTGTGAAACCCTGTGACTGGGGATGTAGCTCAGTGGTACCCCACTGGCCCAGCCTGTGGGAGACCCTGGATTCAATTGCCAGTACTGGGGAAAAGAAGAAAGAAAAAGAATTGTAAAGCCAGATGAGATGTCCTAGCTCCCTATATGCCTGTAGGCCTACTTACTAGGGGAGGCTGAGGCAGGAAACTCACCTGAGCCCAGGAGTACAAGGCTAGCAACATAGGGAGACACCATCTCAGAGAGAGAGAGAGAGAGATCTGTAAGTGTATAGTGGTTTTAATCATTTGAATTTCTTTGTTATTGTTTTGTTTTTTGAGGCAGGGTCTCACTATGAAGTGCAGGCTGGCCTTGAGCTCACTATGTATCCCATGCTGGCCTCAACCTTGAAGCTATCCTGCCTCAGCCTCCCAAGTGCTAGGATTACAGGCGTGTACCACCATGCCTGGCTTATTTTATTTTATTTTATTTTTTCATTTGGATTCAAATTTAGCAAAAATTAGTTTACATTTGCTTGTTCCTACAATATAATCGTCTATAAAATAATTCTTGGTACTTTTTACTGGTTTTAAAATGCCTTCCCCCAAATTCAATGCTTACCCATCATAAATGAAGCTGTGAAACAGTCCAGAGACCCCAGGTAAACATTTGAGACGTTTTGAGCCTTCTTAGACCCAGTAGACATTAAATGTAAATTGCATTTTTTTAAAGTATTGCTGCAGTAATGATGAACCTTTCAGAGACCAAGTACCAAACTGCAAACCAGAACCCACTTATTTGGCACAAAGTGCCAACACTGCAATTAAACCTGAATGTTGAAAAAACAACTCTAAAGAAAAACACAATAACATGTGTGCCATAGGTTCCCCCCACTGACTTGGGGATTAGAGGTCTCACTCAAGGTAGATAATATGCTTCAGACACAGAAGGCTCTGGATTCAATCCCAGCACTGTCTGTTAATACATAAATAAGTTAAAAATCAATATTTAGGGTTTTTTTGCGAAGGGATTCTAAAATTTGTAAAGTATCATTTTTATGCAGCAGAACCTCATTGATTCTTTATGGTATAAACTAAAAAGTCCTGATAAATGTCATCTCTAAAAAACCCACAGTTGGGCTGGCTGGGGATTTGGCTCAGTGGTGCCACTGCGTGCCTCACAAGCACAATGGTCCCTGGTTTGATCCCCGGTACCCCCCCAAAAAAAGTAAACAATAAAAAACCCACAGTTAATATCATGCTAAATGGTAAAAGACCAAAAGCTTTTCGCTCCAAGATCAGAAACAAAGCAAAGGCCCTGCCACCTGCCTCACAAGTACAAGGTCCTGAGTTGGATCCCATGTACCAAAAAAAATGCCTGCTTTTTTTTTTTTGAGTCAGGTTCTCTATGGTAAAAAGTCCTGATAAATGTCATCTCTAAAAAACCCACAGTTGGGCTGGCTGGGGATTTGGCTCAGTGGTGCCACTGCGTGCCTCACAAGCACAATGGTCCCTGGTTTGATCCCCGGTACCCCCCCAAAAAAAGTAAACAATAAAAAACCCACAGTTAATATCATGCTAAATGGTAAAAGACCAAAAGCTTTTCGCTCCAAGATCAGAAACAAAGCAAAGGCCCTGCCACCTGCCTCACAAGTACAAGGTCCTGAGTTGGATCCCATGTACCAAAAAAAATGCCTGCTTTTTTTTTTTTGAGACAGGATTTCTCTATGTATCTCTCTCTGCTCAAGCTAGTCTTGAACTCACAGTGTAGCGCACGGTGGCCTCAAGCTCACAAAGATCCTCCCACCTCAACCTTATGAGTGCTGGGATGACATGTTTGCATCACCATACCCACCATAGTACATTTCTTGAATCAGCTTGAATAACTAACTAGTCACACTTCCAGGGTTACACAGACTAATGACAAGCTTGTGAAGCATTTTGTAAAAACTAAGGCAAAAGTAGTTAGACTAGGGTCGGGGATTTGGCTCAGTGGTGCCGCCACCTGCCTCACAAGCATGAGGACCTGAGTTTAATCCCCAGTACCCAAAAAAAAAGGAGTTAGACTAATAGAGTATTTGAAAAATGTAATTTCTAGAAATTGTTTTGCTCACCATATTAATAGCCTGCATGCAAATAATTATACCAAAGCCATTTTCTTCTCTACATTTATTGTGTTCTTCCAGTGATGAACTCATAAGTACTAATCGCTGACTCCCACAAACGTTATGGGTTGAGCCGCGCCTAACACTGGAGGGAGTGTTCTTAGGCCCTTGGGAGCTCGCTATTCCCTGCCAGGTGACAAGGGCCCAGAATCTCGCATGAGTCTGTCATGCGTCCCTCTGAACTCGTTTGTGGCCGAAGCTGGGGCTTAGTAAGTGTGAACCCATGGCCAGAGCAAGCCCTGGGGCCTGGGAGTCACACGCACCCAACTCAAGTCTCAGCCGTGTGCGTTTCTGATGCCAGGGACCTTGAGCACGTGCCGTGGCATCTGCGCCATAGTCTCCTCCTCCGTCAGCCTTGGAGTGTGGGGCAGCCGGCACAGCAGTAACAAGCCCCTGTCCCCCACCCACCTCCTCTGACTCTGCAGACAGAGTGGGAGGCCCTGGAGCTGACCGACCACCAGTGGGCCCTGGACGACGTGGAAGAGGAGCTTATGACCAAGGACCTCCACTTTGAAGGCATGTTCAAGAAGGAGCTGCAGACGTCCATCTTCTGAAGCTGGAGCTGTAGTAGCTGTATCAGGACCCTGAAGTATAGCGCTTAACCTTGTACTTTGATTGGAGCTGGAGCCTCTGAGAATAAAGAGGATGCAGGGGCTGGCGGGCACGTGGCCAGGCTTGCTCTTGTCTGGGCTGGACTCCCTTGCTGTGGGGAGCTAGAGGACAGGGAGGAGTGTGCTGGGGACTGGCTATCTGCAGAGTGTTCTCAGTTTTCCTTTTGACTCTAGTAATGAAAGTCAGACAGAGGAAACTCAAGCTATTAATACCATATAAAAACTTATCAAAAATTCAGTCTTTGGAAGAAGCACTGTCAGTTATAGCCAGATATGTTCAGTCAGCTTGACTTCTAACCACAGTAACTTCTGTTTTCTTGGGATCCAAACATCTCTGCATTTATCTTTAATTTTTTGTTAGTATTTTTAACTTTCTTTACAAAAGTAATGCATTTCTTCTAAGATTTTAGAAATCATGAGTGAGCAAAATGAACCTCCCTGTATTGTTCATTTTGAGAGTACAGAATGACAAAACAGTGTCAGAACCTCACCTGCATAAACCCTCTCAGCGTGAATGCGCAGGGCCAGAGCCTTCACATCTCAGTACTGTTGGGCAAACACCAGTGACCCTGAGGCGCTGCCAGACTCCCAAGTGCCTTCGGGACCATCAAACACAGTTAAGTTACAGTGCTGAGCCAGGTGTGGTGGCTCAGGCCTGTAGTCCCAGCGCTTGCAAGGCTGGGGCAGGAGGATCACCATGGATTGGCCAGCCCGGGCCACAGTAAGTTCAAGGCCAGCCTGCACTACTGTCTCAAAAAACCAAAAAAAAAAATTGTTCTTGATCTGGACTGTAGAATACATCAAATCCATTGGCAAATCAGTGGTGCTGTACTCTAAATGCCTATGCAGGTTACTCTAGACAGGAGAGGATTTACCTGTCACTGGCAGAAGGGAGCAAGGATATTGCTGGCCAACACACAGACCCAAGTGCCCAGCAAGGCCTCTGTCTAGACACTTGGTCCCAGGGCAGCAGTAGGGTCTCGTTTCTGTACAGAGATAGATGGATGTACTTTGCATGTTGAGCAATGTAATTGGGAACAGATGGCTCTCGACTGAATTAAACCATCCTGTTTTCTCTCCTTGGCTGTGAGACGTTGCCTCTGTGCTTTATTGGCAGCCTTTGCCAGCGTCCTGACCAGTGCCTGAGAGGCTCAGATGGAAGAGGTATGGCCTTGCCCTGAACTCCTCCCATGTATGGGATGCCCTGGGTCCAGTCCTCCCAGCACCAAAGGCAGCACCAGAGAGGCTGGTTTTGGAGAATCTGGGAAATGAGGGCCAGAGGCAGATGGGCCTGAGTTACCTCCCTAAAGCAGGCTCTACCGGGCAGTGGTCTGGGAGAGGCTGAGGGGAGGACAGAGCATTGTGGGGAGAAGGTGGTCCTGGCATCCACATGGGTGACCGGGCACCTGCTCTCTGCATCCCCGATGGTCGACAGCAGGTTTCCCTAGGACCCTGCAGACCCTCTGCCAGAGGCCTAGCTGGTGCTCATCTGAGCTGGAGGGCAGGTGCTTTCCAGGGCTAAATAGTAACAAACTCCTGGGAGCCTTCAAGTTGACCTGGTTTAAGGAAAACATGTTTTTCTGTGAGTTTTAGATACAGAAAGTGAAACAGGGACTTGTTACCCTTAATAAATGCATAAATACTGCAGCACAGATGTATTCCCAGAGGTATATACTCCAGTATTTATTGCCATTTGGGAGTGAGTGGGAGGCATGATTGGGAAATGCCGATGTGAGCTCCCCGGCTAAACAGCCTATCTTGCAGCCTGCTCCCAAGATGGTGGCATCATTCCTGTGGTCTCTTCCTCCTCTGTCGTAGTGAATCTACATTTTTAATGGAAGAGTGGGGAGTAATAAAATGAACTCCCATGTGCCCATCAGCCCACTTCGGTACTGTTATTTTCCTCATCATGGGTGTCTCCTGTGCTGGAGGGGAGAGGGGACTGGAATATTTCACAAGGAAATCCCAGAGACTGTTTTTATCCCCGTGAGCATTTCAGTGTCTCAAATGGGAATTCAGTAATGACCTACAAGTCTGTTACCCACCTGACACAGGTGAGCCTCTGTTTGTTCTGTGACACAGTCCGTACTTCTGTGACCCCTAGGGGTCTTAAATTAAAACACCTTTATCACAGTGGGTCTGTTTGTACCCCAACAAGGCCCACAGGTGGCATCTGGTTGGTATGTTTCTTTAATCACTTTTGTAAGATTTCCTCTCCTCCCTTTCAATTTAATCACCTATTGAAGAAACTGGTATTTGTACTTTGTGTAGAACTCTGGGAATCTGTGAGGACATCTTATCTGGGTGGGAAATCAACCTTAGATATCATTCCCTTCAACAAAAGATGAAGAGGAATGCATGTGTGTTAGATGCACAGAAGATTAGGTAAATGAAAGATCATGCAATACTTGTAGCAGGAAAAACAAAAAGTCTAGGAAATGAATTATAGTCATAGTACCTTTTTTTTTTTTTTTGAGACAGGGTACCACTGTGTAATACAGGCTGGCCTTGAACTCACTGTGTAGCCCAGAGTGCCCTCAAACTCATGGGGATCCTCCTGCCTCAGCCTTTGAGAACTAGGATTATAGGTGTACACCACCACACCTGCCATAGTACATTTCTTGAATCGTCTTGAATAGCTAACTTCACACTTCTAGTGTTTTAAATATAGAATAATGACAGAAAAAGAATGCAGGAAGTCAGGTGTGGTGGTGCATGCCTGTAATCCCAGCACTCGGGAGGCTGAGGCAGGAGGATCTCTGTGAGTTCGAGAGCAGCCTAGGCTACATAGTTCCAGGTCAGTCTCAACTACATAGTGAGACCCTGTCTCAAAAAACTAAAAAGAAAAAAAAGCAGGAAATGTGTGAGCTAAGTCTTGCTAGGGGTGGTGGTGCACACCTATAATCCCAGCTCTCAAAGGCTGGGAGGCTAAGACAAAGGATGACAAGTTAGAACCTAGCCTGGGCAACTTAGATACTATAGAGGGAGGGGACAGGGTTAAATCTTCATATGTTCTTCATAGAAGTCAACAGATAAAATGTAAAACTGGAAAAAAATCTTGATTCACAGCCTAAGTCTGGTGCTTAGGAGTTAAATATAAATACCAGAAGAAGTAACCAAAAATACCAGAAAGAGGGTCAGGGATTTGGCTCAGTGCTTCTGCCACCTGCCTCACAAGCACAAGGACCTGAGCTCAATCCCTGGTACCAAAAAAAAAAAAAATGGAAATAGTTGAAAATGATTGCTTCTGAAATTGGGACTGAGAGGGTGTAGAGTGAGGAATCGCTGGTTTAAAATACGAGGTTTAGTACAAAAAAATACTTGTAAGATCAGGTGTTTTGAGCCAGGCAGGTGGCACACACTTACAATCCCAGCACTTGGAAAGCTGAGGCAGAAGGACCCCTCCAAATTCAAGAGAAGCCTGGGCTACATAATGAGTTTCAGAGCAGCCTGAACTACATAGTGAGAACTTGTCTCAAAAAAAAGTCAAAAACAGTTTTAAAAGAGAGCTCAGGTTTATTTAGTTGGTCTTGGTGGAGACTAAACTATGAGAAAGGACGAGGTGAGACACCTGGAACCTAAGGTTTTCTTTGGCCTGTTCGGTGACAGCGCTGCTCCCCGCACTCAGGGGCAGGGACAACTGCAGAGCGCCCAGCAGACCAGAGCACCACCCCTCCCCACTGGCTCTGCTCGATGTTTATGTGCTGCAGGGCAGAGCAGAGGCCAGGGAGCTGTTCTGGGCACATCCGCAGGGGAGTTCACCGTTGCCAGCTTGCCTCTTTGCCTTCTCTCCATCCATGGGCGCCTCAGATTCTTCGAGGTAAAAGCCCCCACAGCTGAAGGCTTTCGCATGGACCACTGCTGGAAAGCCAGTTTCCACCGATTCTGAGTACAGGGCTGGAAGGAAGGCCCAGGGTCCTCACTGCCAGGCTCTTCTAGGGGCAGAACAGTGTTGTCATTATCAAGCCAGACCTGGACACTTAGTTGCTGTATGACCTTGAGCTTCAGTTTGCCTACTATAAAACAGAACATAACACACAGAGCTGTTGTGAAAATTGTAAAAGATAAATACGGACAGGCATGCTTTAATCCCAGCACACCAGAAGGCTGAGGCAGGTTTGCAAATTGGAGCCCAGCCTGGGCAATTTAGAAACTTAATGAGACCCTGTCTCAAAAATAAATTATAGAGCCGGGGATTTAGCTCAGTGGTTCTGCTGCCACAAGGTCCACAGTTTGATCCCCGGTACCAATAAGTAAATAAATAAGGGCTGGGAATGTGGCTCAGTGCAAAGGCCCTGGTTTCAATCCTCGGTACCAAATAATGTATGTGGAGTGTGACACAGCTGCCAGCAGGGTGACACTCAGTGCACTCTGCACGGACCACCACCCTCCCTGTAGCTGAACCCACCCACCTTCCTGGGGTCTCCAGAGACTCCCAACCCACTCTCATGCCTGTACCTCCTGCTGACATTCACCTCCACCACCAGTCTCCTCTTTCCATAGATCAGCTTTCACCCTAGCCTCTGGCCAAGGGATTCTAATCACTCTGGCTTTTGTCTAGGCTCTCAGAACCCTGCCAGTGGCGGCTGGAAAACACAGTGACACAGTGAGACTGGCAGTGAGCGGTGCTGCAATGAGCAGTGAATGGCACCTGACCTCCCTGAGTGACTGGGGAAGGGGCCAAACCACCTCTGAGCTCCAGGGCACTAGCATCCCAAGAAGGGCCCATCAGTGTCCTGGGACGGGAGGAATGTGGCAGGACTCCCCCCAGTGACCGCCCACACGGGGAAGGAGGGCTCTGTCAGGAAGGGGCACCACGCGCTGGTTGAAAGAGGATGGAGCTAGTAGGTTTTGTCTTCCAACTGTTCCCATCATATATCCTGCAAAGCAGAGCACTGATCCAGAACAGCACTCGTAGTGGGATCTCGCTTGTGTGAACAAACATATGCGTATGTTTGCAAGCAAAGGAAACAAGGCAGTTACCACAGTTGGTACATCTGGGAGGGCAGAGTCAGAGAGGCCACCGGTAAGACAGCTTTTTCCTGAATATTTCTGTGCTGCATGAATTTTGTGTGTGTGTGTGTGTGTGTGTGTGAGCTACATGAATATGTCATTTTTACACCTCAACTAAAGCGTTTTGTTTTTTTCTGAGACAGGGTCTCACGTAGTTCAGGCTGGCCTTGAACTCGTGGCAGTCTTCCTTCCTCAGCCTCCCGAGTGCTGGGGTTGCAGGGTGCACCACCACCCCCAGCTACAGCTAAAGCTTGACTAACAGTCCACCCTTCTCCAGGCCATTGAGAGTGAAGGCTCTGGTGGCACATCCATTGCTCCTGCCCATGTCCCTGAGTAGGCTGAGCTTAGTGATGGCTTCCGCAGGTCAGGAACGGTCTGATCAGGGACAGGGCATCCAAAGGTGCCCATCTGACCCAAGGATGAGAACCGTAGCTCCAGCCACAGCGCTGCCAGGACTCAATCTTCTGGGTGCACGGGCACAGACACCGGACAAGCCTGTGTGGTTGCCCACAACCCCTGCAAAAAGCTGGAGACAACCTAAATCTCAGCCCGGAAGAAGGGATAGTGAAAGCTACCAGCTGACCCTACACTGGTATTCTAAACATTTGCGGGAAAGGAAGTACGTCTGTGGGTTTGCAGAGGAGATGGGCCAGGATATATTGCGAAGTGCAGAGAGAAAGGGCAGGTATGAAAGCTGCATATAAGCATGTTCTCGTCTCCACATGAAACTGCACTGAAAGATCTGAAGGACCCAAGAAGTGTAGGTGGGCTGTGCTCGCGGGTGCGCGTGCTTGTGGGTCCCTGCGAAGATGCAGATACACAAGAGTGAGCTCCCTGTCGCATGACGTATGCAAGCAGAGGGTAACTCAGCAGGAGGTTCCCCCCAACCCGCAGCCTTCGGTGATGACGTTAGTCCTGCGCGGGGCCCCACGGGTGTCGGGAAGAGGGAGCCTACGCGCCCCAGCAGCGTCCGCCTGGGGAAAGGGTTAAGCGGCTGGCGGTGGGCGGGCTTGCAATCGGCAGCGCCGGGCTCTGCTGGCCGCGCCTGAGCATCTCGGAGGATGCGGGCGGCGCAGGGACCGCAAG